CCCCAAGTCCTCACCAGAGAAGACTCTGAAGATGGCAGAAGGAAAAGCCTTTGCTGAAAATTGTAAAACTTGAGAAGACTCCTATGGGGATATTTCGGATGTTTGGATATGAAAGCAACAGCATTCTTTTACTCATGCTCATATGCATACCACCTCTGATAGGTTAAAACTAACATGAAATGATCCATATACAGGTTGAGTATTCCTTACCCAAAATACTTGGGACAAAAAGTGTTTTGAATTTTGGATGGGGGGGGGGGGGGATTTTGAAATACAGGCAGTCCCCAAGTTTCAAACAAGATAGGTTCTGTAGTTTTGTTTTCAAGTTGAGTTTGTATGTAAGTCGGAACTGGTACATTTCTAAGTGCAACTCCAGTCATATAGATAGATAGATAGATAGATAGATAGATAGATAGATAGATAGATAGATAGAAGAAAGCTTTGGATAGCATAGGGAAGGGTTAACATCCCTGTGGTGTTTGTTTTGCTGTCTGTGTCCCTGTTCAGAAGATTTCTCCTCACTTTCTGTCCCTATAATAATTAGATTTCTAAAATTTTGGCTTGCTGTGGAAATAAGGATTGGTGATAAAGATTCAGCTGAGACATTTTTTTCTCATGACAATAACTCTTTCAAAAGTGAAGTTCCCTTCCGATGGGTAGATTTCTCTCACTTCCTGTTGTCTCACCCCAGTTCTTAACTATGAGTCAAATATTTGTAACTCGGGGACTGCCTGTACCTGTATTGTATATATGTACATAATCTTGAAAATGGGACCCAGGCCTAATCACAAAATTCATTTATGTTTTATATACACCTTGTACACATAGGCAAAAAGTGATTTACACAATATTTTAATAATTTTGTGCATAATCAGAAGAGTTTGTATTCTGTTATATTTTATTTTGTTTTATGCTGTTTTTATTTTATTTTGTGTTACATTTTAACCATGTTTGTTTCAGCCTCATGAAAGCCACCCTGAGTCCCTCAGAGATGGAGGCAGGGTATAAAAATAAAGTTGTTGTTGTTGTTGTTGTTGTTGTTATAATTATTTGTGTATGTTGTGCACAAGTTTGTGTACATTGGCCATCAGGGAGCAAACGTTATTATCTCAGCCATCCATGCTGACAATTTTGAATTTCAGATATTCTGGATTTCGGAATTCCAGATAAAGGATGCTCTACCTGTACAACATCACCTTTTTTTAGCAGAGTGAAGCTGCATAACAGGAGAAAATGTAAAAACTAGAGTTTTTCTGCCTACTTGTAGAAGACGTTACATTTCTGCCTGTTATGATGCTAATAAAGAAACCTCTTGTCAGAATGCAAAGAAAGAGTGAAAAGAAGAAGTAGGCAGGCAGGCAACTACATCTAGTAATTACTTGTGCCTAACACACAGTATTACTAAAAACATTAACATTTGTAGGAGTTGCATCCAGGTTGGATTATTCTGAACTAAGCAACTGATTTGAAGACTGTCACATTTCAATCAACACAGGCTCCAAAGAGATACACCTGTTCCATTTCACCACAGGCTATAACTCCGCAGGCACAGTTGCTATGAAACTGCATTTACTTGCAATCGTACAACAGTACTGACTACTGACACAAGATACATTTCTTCATTCTAAGAAGGGGGTCAATGCTTACAAAAAAAGTTGTTCTGTTAATTTGGGCCTGTTTAAATTAGTCAGGGCTGACACACTGATCACCAGATACATGTGCTATTCCCATAAACGATTCTGGACATGATAGCCTTGGGACAGCTTCCTTGTTAATAATACAATATTGTTTTCTTCCCAGCCTAATGTGAAGCAGAAGTCTGATGGACAGATGATACATCAGCTCTTGTAATCATAGATGCCATCCAGGTAAACATCTCCTGGCATAAAGTTTCAAATTAAAAATGCAGCCGCTTGCATCTTATGTGATTGACTTGCTGTATTATCTTACCTTTGGTTCCATTGAAATGAAGCTGTGAGTACCTCTACTTGAGAGAACTGACCTTTTAATCGTTCTACTATGGTAGAAGTGGTAGTAATCCTTCAATGCTCCAATCTGTAGAGAAGGAAAAGGTATGGGGAGGGGGCAAGAGAAAGAGAGAGTTTTAATTTATGAAAAACAGTTAGTCTGTTTTTGATTTTTTTTTGTAAGGTCTATAAATTATGCAATTTCCTGCCTTGCTGAAATGTTACTTGAACCTGGCGCTCATCTTTCAAAAGAATGACACATGATATGAAATGGATGGACTGTCCTTGAGGCAGGAGCTGCATAACCAAGGATTATAATTGAGCTGCTTATTCTGTCTGTATCTACCTCTTTAATGTTTAATTTATATGCAGCATTTTAAGTAATTTTGTACCAAATCTATATCCAAACAGTCTTCACAAGGCAAATATAAAAATCATCAAATAGCAATACAGTTATTTAAAAACATTCAATCTAGTAAGCTTAAGGAAATTTGCTGTAAATGCATTATATTCTGTCACTTAAACTATTACTTCACGCATCAAATCCAGAAAGTATCACAAATAATATTTTATTGGAATTTCAGATGAGGGGTTGGTGGTGCTGAAGAATCAATTACTTGAAATGATCAATCTTTCCATGAAAAAATAGGAAATAGACAGAGTTTGTCAATGAGAGAGTAAATATTGCTTTATAATTCCTGCAGTCACATCTCTAAAATCTTCTTACTTCAAAACACAGATGAATATGATGAACAACTGAATGAGGGATTATGACAGAATGATTTTAAGGTTTCATTATATCTCAGCCTACAGTTGCTTGTTCATTGTAGATCTATTTTCTGGCATTGTAGCTGCTGTATCATAGGCTTGTCTGGTTAAGATCTGATCTATTCCTACTATATTTCAATACACTTTACCAAAAGAATTCTTAAATCTTCTGGAGACAAACAAGGAAGAATTCCTAAGCAGCCAGGTGTTTTTATGAATGTGCATGAAGTCAAAACTGTGACGGCAGCTGACTACCAGAGTATTGCAACTCCTTTCTTCTTTACAGTTCTATTTGCTGTCCAGAAAAATAAAAAAAATACAAATTCCATGGGATTTTCTTACTCCTCTGAGTTTTGGAGTTGCATAGGGAGTTGCAATGGAGTACGGTTAAGCATTCTCATCTCCTGAAGCTATATATCACCTCTCATTTATATGTAAGACAATCAAGATATTCATTCAGGGCCCTTCCAAACAGCCCCTATATCCTAGGATCTGATCCCAGGTTTTCTACTATAAACTGGATTATATGAGCCAGATAATCTGGCATTTTAAAAAAACCTGGGATCAGATCCTGGGATGTAGGGCCTGTCTGGAAGGGCCCATAAACAGCATAAAATATGCAAAGTTTGTAGTGTCTATCTACTCCAAGAAAAATCCTCTCCTAAGGCATTTTCATAGAAGATCCTCTTATGATCTTATCAGACACAGTCTTCTCTTAGTCTTCTCTCCGTTTCTCTATGCTGCCAAAACAGAGTCCCACAGAGTCCATCACATGATGCAAAGCAACTTCCGGCGGGACTCCATGGAGCTTTGTTTCAGCAGCATACAGAAATTGAGCCCAGAGTATCTTTAGAGAGTTTGGGTGTTACCCAACTCCTAATGGCACACTAGGGAAAAGACTGATCTGAAGGGACATGGGATGTCAGAAGACAGACCTCGATGGGAGGGAACAGAGTAAAACCTTTCTCTCTGCTGTCCCATACTTTCCCCCTCTTTCCCCCTGCCAATCTGATGAGAACCTTAGAGAACCACTAGTAAAACATGCTTTCCATTTTTGTGTGCATGTCTTCAAGTCACTTACTGATTTATAATGATGCCATAAATTTCACAGAGTTTTCTTAGCCAAGGGATACCTAGAGATGGGTTTGCCAGTTCCTTTGCCCTTCCTAAAGCATCTGGAATTCATGGACTGTCTCCCATCCAAGTACTAACCAGCTGACTGTTACAATAACTGAGAATTTATATATATGTACTTAGTACTGACAGAGACCATATGTAGTAATATCTTGTCCGATTTTGTCCTCTATGTGAAACAAATCAGCTGTGATACAAGAACATTTGGGCAAAGAAAGGAATGTGTGCTTGCTCCAAGTCTATTTTTCACATACTGTAGTTATTAAGCCAAAATATTCAGTTCCATACAATGTGCTCCTAAGTGCCTTTCTTTAATTAGTCAAGATCAAAGAGACTCTATACTTTAATGAGAAACATATTACCTCACCCTCGCAATTAGAGTTACTATAAATCTGCAAGGTAACCACATCAGAAATCAATTTATTAAAGTTTCCAAATTCATTATGTTTCTGCAAATAAGAAACTATACTCTCTCACACACACAAGTATACATTTTTGTTAGGTGCCTTTAAGTCACTTTAGGGTAATCTGATGATAAACCTATCACGAGGTTTTCTTGGAAAGAGTTCTTCAGAATGGCTTTGCCATGGCCTTCCTCTTCCTCTGAGGCCCCTTCCACACAGCTGAATAAAATCCCACATTTTCTGCTCAGAACTGGGATATATGGCAGTGTGGAAAACCCAGTTCAAAGCAGACATTGTGGGATTTTCTGTCTTGATATTCTGTGTTATATGGCTGTGTGGAAGGGCCCTGAGGCTGTGAATATTGTTTGTCTATGTTTGTTTGTGCATGCAGTTTCTTTATGCACCCATATGTGTAAAATAGTCAGAAAGAGAACACTAGCATTTTCAAACTGAATCTAGATCCTAAAGGAAGATTTAGATTTTATAAACTGGTTGAAAACATGTATTTTTTTTATTTTAAGGCATAAAATATTGCAAGCTCATCCTTCTCCACTGTCTACTGCATGGAAGCATCCAGGAATAGTCATAGAATTCTCATTGTCTAGTCATGGAATTCAGAAGATGGTGCTGGAGGTAAATGTGATAATGCCTTCTAAATTAAGACCATACAGTGTCAAGCTGTCAAGACTACAGATCCTGAAGTTTTCTCTGTTCTCAAGTACAGTTGGGTGACAGGGTTTGACGGAAATACACTCATGTTGGAAAAGCTGTGTCCTTTCAGAATTAAAATGCTTTGCATCTGGACATTCACACTTACATTTCCTGAATCTTGAGCAAAGATCTCTGGTAGCATTTCCATCATAAGATATGTTGCACCTGAACAGGGCCCTGGCTTTCATTCACATACATGACATTGCTGGAATTGCACATTATATTTGGTTTAATGTGACAATTTTTGCCAGTGCTTCTGCTTTTAAAGTTGTTGTTTTGTGCAGACAGGCACAAGTGACACCTTAGTTATTCAGTGATGTTATTCAGTTGTATTTTTTCCCTTTATCACTAACAGCTTCTTTAGAATAGGTAGGTGATTGAAAGTAATAATTGTAATAGGTGCATTAATAGCTTTAGCAAAGTATGGTAAATGAGCAATCAAGGAGCAGCTTTCTTTGGCTGACAAACGGTAATTGGGAGGTGATGTACGGAAATTAAACATAAAAGGCCCAGTCCTCACTTTTTGCTGCTTTTTATAGAGGAAACATTTCCTAGTTCATACAGCACTGGATATTGTTTTCAACAGTAAAGAATTAATATCTCCTTTAAAAGAGGTAATGCCATTGCTGTTGAATTTGGGGTGGTGGGTGGGGGGGGGAGTTTAAAGATGGAAAAATTATCATATCCATGTCTTGAGAAATTCTGTGTTTAATCACCAATTACTAATATGATTGAGTACATAAGGAGACATTGTGTCAGTATATATGGAGCTTTCAAAATTGTGCTTTTCACTAAAGTTCACCACAGACTTGTTAATGGAATTATCAGCTAAAGGCCCTCAGAGCTACAGGATTCACATTTCTTCAATGATAGTTTGATGAACATTAAACATTGGGAAGAACCATTTTACTGTAAGAGCTGTTTGACAGTGGGACAGACTGCCTGGAGTGTGGTGGACTTTCATTTTTAAAACAGGTTGGATGGGCATCTTTCATGAGTTGTGTGTTTCTGCAGGCAGGGAGTTGAACTAGATAGCCTTTGTGTTCTTTACCAACTCAGTGATTCTCTGCTCCCTTCCACAAAGCGATATAGAATCCACACTGAACTGGATTATGTGGCAGTGTGGACACAGATAATCCAGTTCAAAGCATATATTGTGATTATCTGCCTTCATATTCTGGGTTATATGACTGTGTGGAAGGGTCCTCAAACTCTTCTCCCTGCCACCTCAACATCCCAGTGCTCCTTGCTCATTATTTATTTTCCTGTTCCTCTGACTATTTATTAATTTACAAATCATAACACTGCTGCTCAGTTTAACCAAATTATTTAGAAAAGATCAGAGCAATAACATAAAAGAAGATTAAGGGAAACATCCAAAAAAGGAAGTGTAGGCTGAAGCAGTTCAAAGAACAGAACTGCTCCTAAAGCATTGTAACCATTTTGGACCTGCAAATTGGGTTCTTGTTTTTTTCTTTTACTTTTTTCCTAGCCAATTAGTACAGTTCTGAACCACTCTGTACTTTGCATAAAAGAGACAGACAAAAGGGAGGCCAGTGCACTTTTTTAATAGTGACAGTCATGGCTTCCCAACCCAGGTGTCTAACCAAAGCAGTCCAATTGCAGTTCTCGGTGAGAATCACTGATGAAACATTGAACTGATGTGTTTTCACTCTCCTTATGCAAGTTGCCTCACCTAAGACTGGCCACACTGACAAAGCTGCAGAGTTGTTTGTGTGGTAACTGAGAGATATTCTTGCTGCAGACCACCTCAATCATTCCTAAGATTCTTTCCTAAAGTGTATTCCCCAACTCATCAGGAAAACCAATTTGCAGAGTGCAGTTACAGGCAAAACTGAGATCAGATGCTGTGTTCCAAGCTACATGGCTATTTCTTTTACCAAGAAGCCCGCGGTGCTTTCCTGAGTGCTAGATGGAGCAGGAATGTCTGCCAACCAGAGGCAGTAGCCAGGGGTTTGGAACAAAGAGAGACTTCAACCACCATGCTGAGAATTACATGGATTTGACTAATGTTCTTACCCACCCTTCCTTCATTTGGCCTCTTGCTGTT